TATATGTGCCACATCTTCTTTATCCATTCATCTGTCAATGGACACTTAGGTTGCTTCCATGTCCTCGCTATTGTAAATAGAGCTGCAATGAACAGTGTGGTACATGACTCTTTGAATTATGGTTTTCTCAGGGTATATGCCCAGTAGTGGGATTTCTGGGTCATATGGTAGTTCCATTTTTAGTTTTATAAGGAACCTCCGTACTGATCTCCATAGGGGCTGTATCAATTTACGTTCCTACCAACAGTACAAGAGGGTTCCCTTTTCTGCACACCTGCTCCAGCATTTATTGTTTGTAGATTTTGTGATGATGGCCATTCTGACTGGTGTGAGGTGATACCTCATTGTAGTTTTCATTTGCATTTCCCTAATGATTAACTATGTTGAGCATCCTTTCTTGTGTTTGTTGGCAATCAGTATATCTTCTTTGGAGAAATGTCTATTTAGGTCTTCTGCCCATTTTTGGATTGGGTTGTTTGTTTTATTGATATTGAGCTGCATGAGCTGCTTGTGTATTTTGGAGATTAATCCTTTGTCATTTGCTTCATTTGCAAATATTTTCTTCCATTCTGAGGGTTGTCTTTTTGTCCTGTTTATGGTTTCCTATGCTGTGCAAAAGCTTTGAAGTTTCATTAGGTTCCATTTGTTTATTTTTGTTTGTATTTCCATTTCTCTAGGAGACGGGTCAAAAGGATCTTGCTGTGATTTATGTCAAAGAGTGTTCTTCCTATATTTTCCTCTAAGAGTTTTATAGTGTCTGGACTTACATTTAGGTTTTTAATCCATTTTGAGTTTATTTTAGTGTATGGCGTTAGGAAGTGTTCTAATTTAATTCTTTTATATGTAGCTGTCCAGTTTTTCCAGCAACACTTATTGAAGAGGCTGTCTTTTCTCTATTGTATATTATTGCCTCCTTTATCAAGGATAAGGTGACCATATGTGCATGGGTTTACCTGTGAGCTTTCTATCCTGTTCCATTGATCTATATTTCTGTTTTTATGCCAGTACCATACTGTCTTGATTACTGTAGCTTTGTAGTATAGTGTGAAGTCAGAGAGCCTGATTCCTCAAGCTCCATTTTTATTTCCCAGGATTGCTTTGGCTATTCGGGGTCTTTTGTGTTTCCATACAAATTATGAAATTTTTTGTTCTAGTTCTGTGAAAATCCATTGGTAGTTTCATAGGGATTGCATTGAATCTATAGATTTCTTTGGGTAGTATAGTCATTTTCACAATGTTGAGTCTTCCAGTCCAAGAACATGGTATATCTCTCCATCTGTTTGTATCATCTTTAATTTCTTTCATTCGTGTCTTATAGTTTTCTACATACAGGTCTTTTGTCTCCTTAGGTAGTATATTCCTAGGTATTTTATTCTTTTTGTTGCTGTGGTAAATGGGAGTGTTTCCTTAATTTCTCTTTCAGATTTTTCATCATTAATGTATAGGAATGCAAGAGATTTCTGTGCATTAATTTTGTGTCCTCCTACTTTACCAAATTCTTTGATTAGCTCTAGTAGTTTTCTGGTAGCATCTTTAGGATTCTCTATGTATAGTATCATGTCATCTGCAAACAGTGACTGCTTTACTACTTCTTTTCTGATTTGGATCCCTTTTATTTCTTTTTCTTCTCCGATTGCTGTGGCTAAAACTTCCAAAACTATGTTGAATAAGAGTGTTGAGAATGAGCATTCTTATCTTGTTGCTGATTTCATAGGAAAAGGTTTCAGTTTTTCACCATTGAGAATGATGTTGGCTGTGGGTTTGCCATATATGGCCTGAGGGTCATATTACTTACCTAAACATAATAAATGTTTAGGTAAGTTCCCTCTATGCCTACTTTCTGGAGAGTTTTTAATCATAAATCAGTGTTGAATTTTTTCAAAAGCTTTTTCTGCATCTATTGAGATGATCATTTGGTTTTCCTCCTTCAGTTTGTTAATATGGTTTATCACGTTGATTGATTTGCATATATTGAAGAATCCTTGCATTCCTGGGATAAACCCCACTTGATCATGGTATATGATACTTTTAATGTGCTGTTGGATTCTGTTTGCTGGTATTTTGTTGAGGATTTTTCCATCTCTGTTAATCAGAGATATTGGTCTGTAGTTTTCTTTTATTGTAACATCTTTGTCTGGTTTTGGTATCAGGGTGATGGTGGCCTCGTAGAATGAGTGTGGGAGTGTTCTTCCTCTGCTATATTTTGGAAGAGTTTGAGAAGGATAGATGTTAGCTCTTCTCTAAATGTGTGATAGAAATCGCCTGTGAAGCCTCTGGTCCTGGGCTTTTGTTTGCCGGAAGATTTTTAATCACAGTTTCAATTTCAGTGCTTCTGAGTGTCTTTTTGTATTTTCTATTTCTTCCTGGTTCAGTCTCAGAAGTTGTGCTTTTCTAAGAATTTGTCCATTTCTTCCAGCTTGTCCCTTTTATTGGCATATACTTGCTTGTAGTACTCCCTCATGATCCTTTGTATTGCTGCAGTGGCAGTTGTTACTTCTCATTTTTCACTTCTAATTCTGTTGATTTGAGTCTTCTCCCTTTTTTTTTCTTGGTGCGGCTGGCTAGTGGTTTATCAATTTTGTTTATCTTCTTAAAGAACCAGTTTTTATTTTTACTGATCTTTGTTATTGTTTCCTTCATTTCTTTTTCATTTATTTCTGACCTGATCTTTATGATTTCTTTCCTTCTGCTAACTTTGGGATTTTTTTGTTCTTCTTTCTCTAATTGCTTTAGGTGTAAGGTTAGGTTGTCTATTTGAGATATTTCTTGTTTCTTGAGGTAGGATTGTATTGCTATAAACTTCCCTCTTAGAACTGCTTTTGTTGCATCCCATATGTTTTGGGTCTTGTGTTCTCATTGTCATTTGTTTTAGCTATTTTTTTGATTTCCTCTTTGATTTGTTCAGTGATCTCTTGGTTTTTAGTAGTGTATTATTTAGCATCCATATGTTTGTATTTTTCACAGTTTTTTCCTGTAATTGATATCTAGTCCCATAGCATTGAGGTTGGAGAAGATACTTGATACAATTTCAGTTTCTTAAATTTACTAAGGCTTGATTTGTGACCCAAGATATGATCTATCCTGGATAATGTTCCTTGAGCACTTGAGAGGAAAGCGTATTCTCTTGTTTTTGGATGGAATGTCCTATAAATATCAATTAAGTCCATCTTGTTTAATGTGTCATTCAAAGCTTGTGTTTCCTTATTTATTTTCATTTTGGAGGATCTCTCCATTGGTTAAAGTGGGGTGTTCAAGTCCACTACTATGATTGTGTTACTGTTGATTTCCCCTTTTATGGCTGTTAGCATTTGCCTTATGTATTGAGGTGCTGTTATGTTGGGTGCATAAATGTTTACAATTGTTATATCTTTTTCTTGGATTGATCCCTTGGTCATTATGTAGTGTCCTTCTTTGTCTCTTGTAATAGTCTTTATTTTAAAGTCTATTTTGTCTGATATGAGAATTGCTACTCCAGCTTTTTTTTGATATCCATTTGCATGATATATCTTTTTCCATCCCCTCACTTTCAATCTGTATGTGTCCCTAGGTCTGAAGTGGGTCTCTTGTAGATAGCATATATACGGGTCTTGTTTTTGTATCCATTCATCCAGTCTATGTCTTTTGGTTGGAGAATTTAATCCATTTACATTTAAGGTAATTATCGATATGTATTTTCCTATTACCATTTTCTTAATTGTTTTGTGTTTGTTTTTGTAGGCTTTTCCTTCTCTTGTGTTTCCTGCTGAGAAAACTTCCTTTAGCATTTGTTGTAAAGGCGGTTTGGTGGTGCTGAATTGTCTTAACTTTTTCTTGTCTGTAAAGCTTTTAATTTCTCCATCAAATCTGACTGAGATCCTTGCTGCGTAGAGTAATCTTGCTTGTAGTTTTTCCCTTTCATCACTTTAAACATGTCCTGCCACTCCCTTCTGGCTTGCAGAGTTTCTGCTGAAAAATCCGCTGTTAACCTTGTGGGGATGCCCTTGTATGTTATTTGTTGTTTCTCCCCTGCTGCTTATAATATTTTAACTTTGTATTTAATTTTTGATAGCTTGATTAATAGGTGTCTTGGCGTGTTTCTCCTTGCATTTATCCTGTATGGGACTCTCTGTGCTTCCAGGGCTTGACTGACTATTTCCTTTCCCATTTTAGGGAAGTTTTCAACTATAATCTCTTCAAATATTTTCTCAGACACTTTCTTTTTCTGGGACTCCTATAATTCAAATGTTGGTGCATTTAATGTTGTCCCAGAGGTCTCTGAGACTGTCCTCAATTCTTTTCATTCTTTTCTTTTTATTCTGCTCTGCAGTAGTTATTTACATTATTTATCTTCCAGGTCACTTATCTGTTCTTCTGCCTCAGTTATTCTGTTATTGATTCCTTCTAGAGAATTTTTAATTTCATTTATTGTGTTGTTCATCATTGTTTGTTTGCTCTTTAGTTCTTCTAGGTCCTTGTTATATGTTTCTTGTATTTTCTCCATTCTATTTCCATGATTTTGGATCACCTTTACCATCATTACTCTGAATTTTTTTTCAATAGACTATTTCGTCTTCATTTGTTTGGTCTGTTGGGTTTTTACCTTGCTCCTTTATCTGCTGCATATTTCTCTGTCTTTCCATTTTGCTTAACTAACTGTGTTTGGGGTCTCCTTTTCGTATGCTGCAGGTTTGTATTTCCTGTTGTTTTTGGTGTCTTCTTCCAGTGGGTAAGGTTTGTTTAGTGGCTTGTGTCGACTTCCTAGGGGAGGGGACTGGTGCTTGTGTTCTGGTGGGTGGGGCTGGGTCTTGTTTTTCTGGTGGGCAAGGCTGTGTCCAGTGGTGTGTTTTGGGGTATTTGTGAACTTAGTATGATTTTCTGTAGCCTCTCTGCCAATGGGTGGTGTTGTGTATCTGTCTTGCTAGTTGTTTGGCATGGAGAATCCAGCACAGTAGTCTGATGGCCTTTGGATTGAGCTGGGTTTAGCATTGAGACAGAGATATCTGGGAGAGCTCTCACCAATTTATATTACATGGAGCTGGGAAGTCTCTGGTGGTCCAATGTCCTGAACTTGGCTCTCCCACCTCAGAGGCTCAGGCCTGACACCAGGCTGGTGCACCAAGACCGTTTCAGCCACATGGCTGCTTCATGCTGAGAAACTCTAGCCACTGACGCTGCTATGTCACTCCATTATTTCTTTAGGCAACTTTCCTGTCCCTCTTCTAAGAATCCATTATTTCTTTAGGCAACTTTCCTGTCTCTCTTCTAAGAATCCCATTATAGGTGTATTAGTTCATTAATGATGTCCAATAAGTTTCCTGGGCTTTCTTTACTCTTTTTCATTCTTTTTTCTCTTTGTTTTTCTGATTGTGTAATTTCAAATGACCTGTCTTCAAGTTCACTGATTCTTTCTTCTGCGTCATGTCTGCTGTTATACCCCTGTAATAATTTTTTTTTTTTTTTTTTGGTTACTGTATTTTTCTGCTCCAAAATTTATATTAGGTCTTTTTTTATTTTCTATTTATTTGTTCTTATCTTCATTTTGTTCATGCATCTTTTTCTTGAGCTCATACAGCATTTTTATTATTGTTTTAAACACTTTGCTAGGTAATTCATACTTCTCCATTTATTTAGGATCAGTTCCTGTATTTTTGTATTGCTTCTTTGTTTGTGCCATGTTTCCATTTTGAATTACATGTCTTGTAACTTTGTGTTGGGATCTGTGTATTTGATAAAATAGCCACTTCTGCCAGTGTATGTGGACTGGCTCTGTATAGGTGAAGTTCCCCATCAATCAGCCCAGCTAGAGATTCTGGGGGCCTCTGAAACATTTGGAGGGGCACATAATTTCTCTGCGCCTATGCATGTAATTTCTCAATTAGAGTGGCTTGCCAGTTTCTTTTTCTGGGGTTTTTAATCTCTTGTTCTCTCTGGTGTCTTTCTACATCACTGCAAGTTTTGTAGTTCTACAGTACCAAATGATCTACTTTCCAGGATTCTCAGCAGTTAGTATGCATCCAAAGTATGCCATATCAGTCAGGGCTCTGATCGAGGCAACACAGAAACCAGTCCTTCAGGCAGCCCTCCAGAAAGTCAGAATGTTGGACGCATATGCTTCTTTTCTCTTTACTCCTGAGAAAGAAGTTCCAGTCAGAGCAATCTCTCTCAGCTCTGACCAGTGCCAGCTTGGGGGAAGGACTAATATGGGCAAAGTAAAATTGCTCTTCTTACCCATTTCAATGCAGCTGTTCTTGACTTTGTACTGTCCTAGTGTACTCCAACTTATTAACTTGATTCTGGAATTCTTATAAAAGTATATTGGCCCACAGATGGTTGTCAAATTTGTTTTTCTTTGAGGAAACAAGGGCTAGAACTTCCTATTCCACCATCTTTTTGACATTACCTCTGAATCAGCTCTTTTTAAACAACCTCCTCAGAAGTCCCACCCATAACTTATTTAAAACTCAGTTTCCACAGCTTCATCATATGGCCAGGCTGCAACAAAAACTGAGAAGTAAAATCTTTATGCTTAGCAGTAATTCATCCAACTAAAAATAGAGTCTCTATTTTTAAGGAAGGAGGGGGAAATGAATTCACCAATAATAACCAGTGGTCCCTGCCATAGTACTTGTAAATGAAGAGGGTAGATTGTTTCCCCAATGAAATATATAGAAAATACTTATGTGTTACTTAATATCATAGCACTTATCCATACGTCACGTATTTTAACTTGCTTATTGTCACTCTTTGCCTTTAGAATGTGTTATTCACTGCTATAAACTCCAAAATCAAAAATGGTGTCTGGAAAATATAAACATTCAACAAATTTTGGCTGAGTAAATCTATTGATACACCAATAGCTTGTGCCACCCATTGAGCATGCTCATGTTTAATTTTACCCAGGGTGAGAGGTCTTGGATATTTTCCAAGATCTACCCCCAAATCCTAATTTTCATTTATGGAAACTGTGTGGAAAACTTTTGAGAAGACTTAACTTTAACCAATTATGGAGTATCCTATAGGCCAGAAACAGGTTTAACCTAACTGCAGTACCTGAACTTATCAGACCAGAAGGTTTTGCTGTTATGTAATCTCTTATTACCTTGTCCTCCTTCATAGCCTCTATTGCAATTATAATCCATGACTTACTTTATAACTACATATCAATATATCTAGTTTTCTACTAGATATAAACATATATCTAGTTTTCTACTAGATATAAAGGAAAAGACCTCATAAGCCTCATTCACCATTATGCCTCCATGCTCTAGCACAGTACTCAGCAGACAGGGGATGCTCAATAAATATTAATGAATGAATAAATGGATGAATTGATGGCTTCAATTATCATGTGTTAGATGCTGATTTCAAAATCTATATCTACACAGTAGTGAATACTGCTAATGCCCCACCCAGATCCTCTTGGATCCTCTGTGTTCCTGTTTCTAGTTTCTAGAAACTAGTTTCTGTGTGCTTTGCTATTAACATCTCATACTTGTGACTTTTAGAAGATTTCCCTGGGGAACTGGAATTGCATCACACATACAGAGAACCAGAATTATTTGGGAATTTTACATTCCCTTCTCCCTGCACTTCTGAGTATGAGATCAGCTTCTTTGCCTCCACTGCAGTGCACTTTGAAGTATAGTTTATTCTGTAAAGATTCCCATGTATGAGATAGAGCTTGAGATTTCATCTGAAATAATTCTCTTTCATGGCTTCTTCCCCTTCCTTGTCTTATTACCTCTCCCCCAACTTTATTAATAAACCATTTGCATACAAATCCTTGGCTTAGACTATGAGTCAAAGAAAATATTACCTATGACATAAAGTTTCTATCTCTCTTCATAACTCCAGACAGATACTTCCAGTTGACTGCTGGGCAACTTTGCTTGTGTGGCCCAAAAGCCAACTTTACATGCTTAAGACTGATTTTTCTTCTCATTTCTCTCCAAATCTACTCTTTTCCCAGAATTTTCTATCCCACTGAATTGCATCACCATCTTTTTTTTTTTTTTTTTTTTTTTTGAGCCCCATCTAGAGCTCAAACTAATATGCTAGGATTGTTCTTTTCTTCTTTTCTTCTCCTTTCATTTCTTTTTTTAAAATTGAAGTACAGTTGACTTACAGTGTTGTGTCAATCTCTGCTGTATAGCCAAGTGACTCAGTTTTAGACATATATACAGTCTTTTCTTAATATTCTTTTCCATTATGGTTTATCCCAAGAGATTGGATATAGTTCCCTGTGCTATACAGTAGGACCTTGTTATTTATCCATTCTAAATGTAAGAGTTTGCATCTACCAAACCCAGATTCCCAGTCCATCCCTCTCTCTCCCACCCTCCCCCTTGGCAACCACAAGTCTGATCTCTATGTCTGTGAGTCTGTTTCTATTTTGTAGATAGGTTCATTTGTGCCATAACTTAGATTCCATATATTAGTGATAGCATATGGTATTTTTCTTTCTCCTTCTGACTTATTCAATTAATATGGTAATCTCTAGTTACATCCACGTTGCTGCAAATGGCATTATTTTGTTCTTATTTATGGCTGAGTAGTATTCCACTGTATATATGTACATCTTTTTGTGTGTGTGTGTGGTACGCGGGCCTCTCACTGTTGTGGCCTCTCCCATTGCAGAGCACAGGCTCCAGACGCACAGGCTCAGCAGCCATGGCTCACGGGCCCAGCTGCTCTGCGGCATGTGGGATCTTCCCGGACCAAGGCACAAACCCGCATCCCCTGCATCATCAGGCAGACTCTCAACAACTGCACCACCAGGGAAGTCCCTGTACATCTTCTTTTAGATCTTATTTATACCTTTTATTTAAGAGGGAGGTCTCATCTGTCATGGATTCTGTGGGAAAGGGGAGACACTGCCTCTTTACTGCCATCTGGAGATGGAATTCTATGTTACCATTTCAGCTTCCGTTGAAAGCCAGTGGGAGAGGGTTGCCTATTATTGCTGGGCTCAGGTGAGAGTAAAACTCTCCACTAGCCTCTGCTGCACTGCCCTGTATGGCAGCATGCCATGAGCCTCGTGATTGTTCCCCAGGAAGTGTACACAGACATGACCAGAGCATAGAATGCTTACTTCTGGGTGGTGGTGAAAGTCCTAACTCTCCATTAGGCCTCCCCTGATACCAGTCCACAAGGAGAGGGCACAACATTACTTCTGAATGGGAGATGAAAGTCCAGGCAGTCTTCCCACTTGGTCTCCACAAACATCATGGGAAGCATCATCATTACTGCTCAGTGAGGGTGAATATCCCCCCTGCCCACTCTGTGATACCATCCCAGCAGAGTGGGATGGGACCACTGTGTGTGTGTGTGTGTGTGTGTGAGTTTTGGCTGGAGTAGAGCAGTTATTTTCCAAAAGTTTTCTGCCTTGCTGTACTCCCCCTTTCCTGTTTCCTTGACTAAAGAAAGTGGGTTTTTCTTAAGCCCATTTTTTGATCTGTACTTGTTAGTGTTTCTGGGTTGCTGGCTTCTCCAGCATCCAGTCTTAGCTATATGAGGTACAAAGAAAATCCAAGGATACACTGCCATATCATTCCTTTGGTTCCAACATCCCTAGCTGGTTTCTTACCTTCTCTTCACCTTTCAGAGTCTCTCTCTCTCTAAATATAATACAATATAATATAGTATAGTATAATATATTATGACTTTATGACTTTATTTCTTACATTTATTCAACAAATATTTATTGCAACACCTACTAAGTGCCGGTGATACAAATGACTAAAATAGTTTCTATCTTCAAGGTGACTACAGTATAGTGAGGAAGACAGATGTAAATTATACTTCAAAAAATTATTAGTTAATTACAATTAAACTAAGCTGTACCATATAAACTAGCATATGAGCAAATATAGGAAACCTAACCTAAATATAGGAAACTTCGTTTTACACATTATTTTATACAATATACATGTATTAATTATAAATACTATATGAAACATAAAAAAGAGCATATTTTTTTCCATACAATCATGGAATAGAGTACTAATGTTTATCATTTGAAATACATAAACATGAGGCAAATAGAAGAGTATTATACCCAGTGCCTAATAAACTTATTATGTAATGATAGTTGAAAAAAGGCTCATGAATGTCGAATCACAAATTTGGAAGTTGAGGATATTTCTGGGTGGTACATTCCTATGTTTTTGAGATTATTATAATGAATGACAACTCCATTCTCTCCCGGATTACTGACACAAATAAGACAGAATTCCAGGCTGAGTGTACTTTGATTATACTCCAGTATGGTGATTCTTAGGGTATTTGTGCCTATGAAAGTCTTCAGTGACATTGTGCTATTTCATTATGGAAAGTTCAGCTACTTTATTTGTCTTTGGATTGGGCTGACTTCATTGTCTACCATCGTCCAAAGAACATACTGACATTTTTAATCTGATGGACTGCTGAGAAACCACAGCAGGATATAGACCAACCCATCAAAAGTGAATTGAGGATTTCATTGATGTGGAGAGCTAATTATGTGACTATGGGGAGTGGGACACTGATTGAAATCCATATGACTCTTTAGAGCTCACTCTGTAGGCTAGCTCCCGAGAGGAATAGTATATGAAAGCGACTTGTTCTCTGCCCTCACCAAGGTGCTGCCTAGTCCTTCTGTGTTAGAAATCAACTACAGAGAATCTGCTCCCTCCCCTAAAATGAAGAGTTCAGAGAAGGGCAGGAGTGCTCTCTTTCACAGATCTTGAAGCAGTCTCCATTTTACCTTAAGAAGATGCTAAGAACTTGTCTTTAGATACTTTACTAAACATATTGACTGTCTCTATATTTTCTCTAAGCTTATCTCGTGCTTGACTATTTTAGAAATAACACCAACCACTTATATGTATATATATGTATGTATGTGTGTGTGTGTATATGTATGTGTGTGTATGTGAATAGATATGGATATATAATGTATAAGTTCGTATATGTTTGTACATATAGTTTATTTAAATTCCCTAAGAACAGTAATTCCACAAAGTTATGGTAAAGGTTACTAAACATAGAAGACCCAGGTTTCAATTCCATTTCTGTGACCTGAGCAACTGATGTGTTGTAAAGATTTCATAAGAAGTACCTATTACTATGCTTTTTAAAGAGGTAATCAGTAAATGTTGATATTGAACATGTTCCTACCTGATATCCACCATATGCTTGACCTTCCTTATCTTCACTGAGCCTGAGAAGTTCTCCTAAGTGCACTATCTGCTTTCATCTACCTTATAAGGCTCTTTTTTGGCCTTTACACCATGTCCAAATATTTGGCTTTAATTCATACTTCTTGGAGTATGAAACCCCTGGCTCTCCACTCCCAAACATATATTTTAGGATGATTGATCCTTACCTCTGTTCTCACTGCTCACATTCTTGACTGAACCAGCCCTATTGTGTCTCCAGGTCAAATTCTGCCATTTTTTCAAAGCATATCAAGGGACTTTTAGGAAAGAGAAGTAACATTTCACTTGGGCATCAATTAAGTGCCAAACAGGACATTGAGTTATATATTTTATGGAAATTATCTCTTTTAATTCTCACAAAATTCTTATCTTGGTATTACCATATCCACTTTTAGAAATGAATAGACGCTCAAAAAAATTACTCATATAAAGTCTCATATCTGTAATATGATCAAATCAGAACTCAAATTTTGGTTTCCCTGACCTCAAAATGCTTTAACTTCTTATCCCCTACCATAGTGCTTCTTAAAATCAAATGATGACTTAGTCTCTTTTAAAGGAGAAATATTCTGGTAGACACTGATTGGTGATTTAAATTATGATCTTGATTACATTACTTCTTAAATACAAAAGGTAGAACTATAAATTTTGTGCAACTCCCAAACCAAAAGATATCTCCACTGGATGTTAAAGAACCTTCCTAAACTTACCATGTACAAAATTGACCTCCTAATGTTTCACTCTATTCCCACACCTACTCTTTCTGGAGTCTTTCCTATTTCAGTTAATGACAATTGTATTCCTCCAGTATTTCAAGTAAAAAATATTGATGCTATCTAACTCCTCTTTCTCTGGTTGCCCACATCCAGCCCATCAGCATACCTGTTAGCTTTATTATCCTTAAAATATATTCTGACAGTAAGCTTTTCTCACAATTCCCACTGCTCCCATCCTGGTTCAGGTCACTGTTACCTTCCACTTAAAGTAGGTTCCCTACGTGGCTCTTTGCTTTTATTCTCGATGCCTTTAAGTTCATTTTCAACACAGTAGTCCAAGGAATTCTAGCTAAACTAAATCAGTTCACAACATTTCTCTGCTACAATGTGCCCAATGGTTTCCCCTGGACTCTGAACAAAAGCCAAAGTCCTTCCTATGATTTACAAGGCCCTACTTAGTGTGAGTGCTGTTTTTACCTCAAATGTTATCTCATTTTATTCTGCCCCTTATTTAGATCTCTCTGGCCACATGGACCTGATCACTCTTGTCAAATACACAAGCATGCTCTTGCCTTAGGGTATTAGTATCTTCTATTCCCCTCTGCTAGAAGTGCTCTTCCCTGGTTATCTACATGGACATCACTCAGATCTTCAATGGAATTTCACCCACTCAAGGAGACCTTTCTTACCACATTATTTAAAATTGCAAGTGTTCTCAACTCTCCCCTGCCCCTTTCCCTATTTTATCTTTACTCCTTATCACTAATCAATGTCACACTGTATATTTTACATATTCATATTGGTGACTGTCTCCTCTTTCATTACAGTAAAAAACTATACAAAGACAAGGAGTTTTGTTGGTTCACTGCTATATTTTTAGTAACTAGATGATTGATTTGTACATAGCAAGATTATAAATAATTGCTGAATTCAAGAATAAATTTGAATTAATAAACTGCAAAATCAATAAAATAGTTAAATATTATATTAGTTTAATGTTATAGATTAGTTTTATGATATATATTATGTGAATTTGTTGCAACTAATTTGCTGATACTACATTTAATAATAGAAACGTATTTGTTTTTGTGCTTCATTTGTTTTCAAATTGATTCCTTTGAATTTGAGTGTGCAGAATCGTAATTTGAGTCTCCATCATAATCACTTCTTTTAATTTTCTCATTAAAAATGAATTTTTTTATTTTGATGGGCCAATCAGTATAACAGTACACCTCAAGCTATAATATGTAAAAATAAAACACATTTTTTGCATATTTGCTATTCCACTTATTGCCAATAAAGTTTGGATAATTGGCATATAAAAGATGAAAAATGTCCCCCAAGCATCAACTTACCATGTGAATATGGCACAGAGAGCACGCATTGTTTGGTGACCCCATGCTCTAGGATGTGCACAGACTCACTTTTCACCCATGACTCTTTTCTATTTGGACTCTTGTGAAACCTGTCTTACCATGCCAAGAGAAGTTTTCTGTCCTTTACCTCTTGTGAAGGTGATTGTAAACACAACACAAACATGGGTAATAGGGCTTCCCTGGTGGCACAGTTGTTGAGAGTCCGCCTGCCGATGCAGGGGACGTAGGTTCATGCCCCGGTCCAGGAAGATCCCACATGCCGCGGAGCTGCTGGGCCCATGAGTCATGGGCGCTGAGCCTGCGTCTCTGGAGCCTGTGCTCCACAAAGGGAGAGGCCACAACAGTGAGAGGCCCGCATACCGCAAAAAACAAAACATGGGTAATAAAAATGCATTTCAACACTCAATTACAAGGATTTCATACAGGTGACTTAGAATATGCTTATACTTTTTTGTTAAGATCATTATCCAAATGAAAATAGAAAATTCATAACTTCTCCTAGAAGTAGAGAATATGTCTGCAGACCCCCAGGATCCACAAATCACAGTTTAAGAAACATTCCTTATACCACAAAGATTTTACAAGACAAAGTATGATGAATGACACATGGAAATATTACAGTAGATTCAACTGAGAGACATTCAATTTATGAAAAAGGGCAGGCTTTTTAGAAAGTGACATCTGTGCTAGGGCTAATTTAGCAAGGTGGAAAGTGAAGAGGAAGTTAATTCAGGTAGAGAAAATTGCATGGGCAAAGGATTAGAAGCAAGAAAGTCCTAGGTTTCTCAAGAAACTTTAAAAACCTTTCCTCCACTGGAAAGCAGCATACAAGAGTGAGATTAATGTAGATTCACATGAAGGGATAATCTGGATATCAGATATGTTGAGGAATAATGGTAGCCAATAGATATACAGTAACCTCTACATCTGCCAGGCACTAAGTGCTTTACACATAGTAACCTGTCTAATCTGTATAGTAAGCATTTGAAGTATGTGTGTTCTCATATTCTCTTCTTTACTGAGTCTGAGAAAGGTTCAGTAACTTTCTCAAGGCCACACAACTGGACAGATTCCATAGTTTGATTCCAGAATCCATGTTTAACCACTGTGTTCCAGACCTCTAATTATATAGCTCAGTGCCTATCAAGGATTAGAACCTCATAGAACACAATAAATCATTAAGTATTGATGTAGCATAAAAATTGCAGAAAACTTTCAGGAGTAGGCAGCAATAGTTTGCAATAAATCTCTCCTAAATGTTAATAAAATATCTCACACCTTCAATTTTCACAGAGTTACCAAAGATCTTTTACATTCTAAAAAACTGCATAATAATAAGGTGTGTTTCTCATTTCCTTGTTTCTGTTACCATCCTTTGACCTCCCGCTGCTTCTCAACAGTCACCTCATCAGAGCTTTTCCTTTCATTTCAAGCCCTATAACTCATCT